ATGTACTGCAGATTGTGAACATGTCGCTCCATTCAGGTGACTTCCCTAAGGGCTTGAAAACTGCAGTTATTAAGCCACTGCTAAAAAAGAACAACCTCGATATACTGACAATCAGTAATTACAGGCCAATTTCAAATTTACCATTTTTAAGCAAAATAATTGAAAAGGTTGTTTCCCTTCAACTTAACAGTTTGTTGACCTCCAATAACATTTTAGACACCTTCCAATCTGGTTTTAGGTCTCGTCATAGCACAGAGACGGTTTTATTAAAGATTTTAAATGACATTCATTGTAATACAGACTGTGGGAAATCCACAGTTTTAGTTCTATTAGACCTCAGTGCGGCGTTTGACACCGTAGATCACAACATTTTAATTGAAAGAGAAATGGCTGGGTCTGTCTGGCACTGTCCTAAAATGGTTTACATCCTATGTTGAAAACCGAGAGTATTTTTGTTTCAATTGGTAGCTGTACATCGGACAGAACCAAAATGACTTGTGGAGTTCCCCAGGGGTCGATCCTCGGGCCCCTTCTATTCAATTTGTACATGCTGCCACTTGCTCAAATAATTAGAAATAACAACATTTCTTATCATAATTACGCAGATGACACCCAAATCTACATATCACTTTCCATAGATGAATACGGTCCTACTGATTTATTGATCACATGTCTAAAACAAATAGATGACTGGATGTGCCGTAATTTCTTACAGCTCAACACAAAAAAACCCGAAGTAATTGTTTTTGGAACCAAAGAAGAAAGAATTAAAGTCTCTGCACACCTGGAATCACTATTACTCGAACCGAAAAGTCAAGCAAGAAACTTAGGTATAATTTTAAACTCTGACCTCAATTTTAACAGCCACATCAGGGCAATCAACAGATCAGCCTACTACCATCTAAAAAATATCTCGTGTATTAAAGACCTTATGTCCAAGCAAGACCTTGAAAAACTTGTCCATGCATTTTTTTTTAGCAAGCTTGACTACTGCAACAGCATCTTCACAGGCCTCACAAAAAAATCACTCCGTAAACTCCAACTAATTCAAAATGCTGCTGCCAGAATCTTAACCCGGACAAAGAAAACAGATCACATCACTCCAGTGCTGAGATCGCTACATTGGCTTCCAGTTAGTGAGAGAATTGATTTTAAGATTTTATTGCACACTTATAAAGCACTAAACGGGCTAGGACCCAAATATATCAAGGACCTCCTTCAGTGGTACGAACCCAGCAGACCCCTTAGGTCTTCAGGCGCAGGCCAGCTCACTGTTCCATTTGTGAGATCAAAGCGTGGGAAAGCAGCCTTCTGCATCTATGTTCCTAATGCATGGAACAAACTCCCAGAACATCTGAGAATGGCTAGCACTTTAGAATCATTTAAATCAGGTCTAAAAGCATTTCTTTTTAATATGGCTTTTCACATTTAAATGTTCTAATTTTCGAACTGTTAAACATGGTTTTCTTTCTTTTAATTAATTATTTTGTGTGTTTTGCTTGCCTTGCCTTTCCTTTTATACTCTACTAAAATGCAACAAAAAAGGGTTTGATTCTATTAATTTTGTCTTTTTTATTGCACGTTGGCAGCAGATTCCTGTGTAGCTTCAGATCTGATTTGTCTTATTAGTAAGCCTCATTTATACGTTTGTAGCAACACTATTTTTATATAATGGCAAAGAAAGGGTTCAGAGTCTTTTCTTTTCTTCCTGTGTCATATGTGGCAGCACTGTTCAATGCTTCTTGAAAACATTACCCACTGTAGTGACGTGTGAATAAACTCCAACTCTGTATCAACGACACTGTTGTGTAACTTCAGTTAAATACTTGTGTAGATTAGAAAGAGGTAAGATAAAGGATCTGCAGTATTTTATGAAGTATTAATCGTACAAAGGTCAGTTTTATACAAGTAGAAGTGTGTATTTATACCTGGTAGTAGGCTGTCAGTAATGGCTACGCCTCTCTATTTGGACTGGTAGATCTCGGCAGACTGGCAACTTTAAAAGTAGCTCTCGGTTCAACAAAAGGTTGGGCACCCCTGGTCTATGTGTATAAATGTCCCTTAGGCTCATGTGTGACTTTAAGCATGTTTCTGTCTTTGTGCGTAACACACAGATTTAGAGGTTAACCCACATATTATTCACATGGCCCCTGGAGAGTACAGGTGAGTGTGGTGCTGCTAAGAATGCTGGGAATGTGATTTGTTAAAGGTCCCATGTCATGGCCATTTCTACCATTTTAGCGGCGTATTTTTCATTATGATTCTACTTGTGATAGTCCGACATGACAACCTGTGCAGCCCATGTATTGATTCCATCCGATAGCTGCTATCATACAAAACAAAACGTCTGCCTCTCTCCACAATGATCAATAACAGTGAACGGATGGTCAAAGTAAGGTACAAATAAAACAGAATCACAAGAAGCCCTGGTTAGTGTTGCCTGACTTATAAAGTGTGTGGTTGCGTTCGAGTCATCCACTTTGCTCAGCGCTACTGCTTGTTACAACTTTTATTTGCCGTAACTCCGCCATAACTGGTTGCTCAAGTTGATTTCATGTGACTTTGCAGACATTTTGTTTTAGAAGTTATATTTGTATTTATTCATGTTAGGCAAACTATGGATAAGCTTAAAATGAGAATAATTTGGGTGTGTTTAAATCGTGAGCTGCATTTGGGGACTGTTTGACATGTGTTTTTGAGGACAAAGGGAAGATGGGGGAGGTGAGAGCATGTCCTGATTTGCATTCAACTTAGGGGGAAGGTGAGAGCATGTCTCTGGTGCTTATCAACAGTAGCAGTTAAGTGAATACTGTTCAAACAATACCTGTGTTTGTGTTTTATATTGATTTCTCTGTTTTATCCTTTCATAAATGTAAGGACTACAATGGCTATAAACATTCTGGGCTGGTTGGAGTAAACAGGGTTTTATTGCTCTGTGGGGGAGGTGTAGGTATGCAGGCCTTGAGACCTTTTGTTGGAAAGTGAGCCTGTTTGGTTTCCTGCTGGCCAGAGTTGCGTCTCCCAATGAGATGACCTGAAAAGATGACCAGCTGACCTAACACCAAACCCCTCCTTCTTACTCTGGTATATCTCCGGTGGATCCCTGGCGTTCGGCCTCTTCTTCACATGCTGCCCTCGGGTGAAAGTAGCTCTGCAGTATGCGGACCAGAGCAGGAGTAGGCCGGCATTACTCCTTAAGCATTGCAATATAACTGTAATATATCATGTTGTATTGTAATGATTGTATTGCATTGTCATACATGCATAAAAGATACATAACACATGATTCCCCTTCAACACTGCTGCTCTGTTATGGCTTTATATCAACACTTCCAATTCATTTGGATGGTTCTGTCTCATGGCTGTTGTAGTAACACCTCCATATTTGGCCCATAGCATGTTTAGTAAACTACTACAGGGTAACATTTTTTGCAACATCTTTCAGATATAATAACCCCTCTTATGGGAGTGTGTCCCCGTGTTCACCAGGGCCGGGTGCTCCGGTGCTCCTGCTTCACCCACTGCGCGCTGTGGCAGCTCTCTCCTGCAGTGCACCACCACCCCCCCCTGCCCCCGGGCTCTCCCTCTCCAACAGGCGTCTCTGGTTGAACAGCATCCCTCGTGGTGCACGCTGCAGACTATCCAACCCCCGGAGCTCCTCTTCAGCTCCACCCAGCTGGGTCCCTCTGTACACGGAGGAGGCAAGGGGCTTCTTGGATGCAAACAGAGGTGGGAGTGAGAGAGGCTTGGACCTGGGTGGGGGGGCAGGAGAGGACAGGATCAGTAGAAGGGAGGGTTAGGATGAAGGGGTAACCCTATGTGCAGCTGAAGAAAGCCCAACAAGACTTCTAGCTTAGCATCATAGATTAGCATAGTGTAGCTCAGCATAGCTGGTTGGTTGGTCTGCCCCTCCCATAGGGAGTGTATAACCACAAGAAATGATTCATATCTGTTTTCTCTCATTAAAGTCTTGGCTACTTAAACTGTTTGGGTTAAGTCGGATGAACTCACATTATAAATGGCCTATAAATGTCAGGAACACTTCCACATCTGCTGGGCGGGCCCTTACTGAGCTCACAGTCTGATCCTGGCTCCAGAGGATTCTAATAGTCATACTACTATTTACTTGTATTTATTTCCTCAGTTGTTTGACCAAATATTTATGTGAGTTGAAGGTTGGAGCTTTCTTATCCCGGCTGCACATAAGGGGAAGATGCACATGTATCATCCTGAGATGTTCATGTGGCTGATACATTAATAGCTTTGCCAAACCTGTCTGTTTGAACAATTCAAAGTTAAATTAGAGCTATTTCACAATCTATGGGACAAAGACAACAAGAACCGAGACATTGACCCAAAGTTATTTCTCTTCAGGTTGCCCAAAAGTAAAGCTGATTTGGTTCAACATGAGGATTTGTTTTTCAAAATAAAAGTAGTCAAAGTAAAGTCTGTCATCTCCCTTGATTCTTCTTTGTTGGGTGAAGACGCCATGTGATGAACACACTCATGCAACAATGATCATAATCACCTCATTAGATAAACTCTATACGATTCTGAAATGGGCCTTTAGGTCAAGCAACTACTTTTACTTTTGGTACTTTAAATATATTTTGATCCCAACACTTTTGTACTAAAAAGGTTCCTCACTGAAGCTCACCTGGGGAAGGTCTGTGCAGCAGTCCAGCTGCTCTGCTGTTCAGGGGCCCCCGGTACGGGCTGCAGGTGGCCCCCCCACCCTGCTCGCTGCAGGAGACATCCCAAACATACGGAGCACATCGACGGGAGGAAGGAGGACAAGAAGGGATGGCAGTGCAAGTCAAAGAAAAGTTAGGGAGACAACAGAAAGAAAAATAGGAGGAGAATAAATAAAAACTGACATAATAAAATAAATAAAAAGTAATGATAAATGATGGCAAACAAATCAAACTCAAAGAAGCCACATAAAGGGAAACAAAGAAATGTGCGTGTGTGTGTGACAAAACACAGTCTGACATTACGAGATTGGTTGACAGTTTAATGGGTTCATAGAAAAGGCGGGCAGATAAGACAGAGCCATGGTGTTCCTCTGCTGGGAACATGAGGACTATATTCTTAAAAGTCAAAAATCCTCCTTACAACAGATATCCCCCCCCTCACTCTCCAGGAGTGCCTTCACACACACATCCTGGTTCTGTGATGAGAGAAATGTGGAGGTAAAGTAACCGTGGGAACACATCCACGGCAGGCGGATGAAACCTGAACACTGTTTGGATCATGTATACGGGGACATCAACCACCAGCGTTTTAATGTTCTATGCCAATCTGATTTTGCAAATAGAGCGGTGCAGGAGTGAGTCCTGAAACCTGGAAATGAGTCAGCATTTTACCACTTTTTCATTGTAGTAGTTCGAAGGCTGAAATGAAGTCTGTGGTTAACACAAACTGAAGAGACTTTCACATTTAGTTCTACAAAATAAAATATGTCAGTAAATTCTCCACTCATGAATGCCGAAGCCTCAGTGAAGTGTCTAAATAAGTCTACCAAACATCATCACGCCGACCATTAGCCGCCTTTAGCTTAGCCACGGTGATGCACAGCCATGTGACGGTGATGTAGTTAGGTTTTAGCCTACAGTTAGCTTACTTCTGGTGATTGCATTTACGACTAAAACATTACAAAGTGGTGTTAAAATGTGAAGATTATCCTGCTGAACAAAACATGTAAGTTTCATAAACGTGTTTGCCATTTTCTGCAATGTACTGAAATCCAATGGAAAGATCCCAGAGCTTTTGGTTGAGGGAGCTCTTGTGATGCTACAAATCTGTCATCACTGCACCACTCTATTTGACCATACTGTAAGACTGAAAAGCAAGAGACTGGTGCCCGTGGAAAGGCACTCCACGTGTCACACACTGTCTATCAGAAATTGAGCTAAAAGAAGCCAGGCGATTAAAGGGAAGAGGCACAGTGCCAGGCCGAGGAGGTCAATGCAAGCCCTGATGAGATCTATTGAGGGAACTAAGGAACAGAAGAGGACGATGACAGTGAACAAAAATGTATGTCAAATGAGTAAAAGAAGATACATGTGTTGAAATGGGAGAATTAAAAGGTGAAGGGAACGAGAAAGAGACAGAGTTTAGAACACTAGGCTGAACAGATAAAGGAGAGAGGACACAATCAGAGACTGAAGACAGGAATGTAGCGTCGCTCTGACAGGACCCTCTCCATTCTATTTCTACTTTGTTAATTAAACAAGCTCATTTACATGAAGTGTGCTAAATACTTTATATAGGATTTCAACATGAATTCATAAGCAGCAATGCAGCAAGGTATATAGGGAAGAGGATTAGGGCCACGTGAATTCTTTTTTAGATCCAAACAAAAGTGAGTTTTTATTAGCTTTGAGATTAAAGCCACAATTCTGAGAAAAAGTCAGAATTCTGAAATTAAATTCAAAATTCAGGGAAAAAAGTCAAATAAAAGTCAACATTTTTCCTCCGAATTTTACTTCAACCAGAATGAAAAAAACTAAAGGAAAATTGTCAGACCTAAAAAATGAGTGGCCCAACCCCTCTTCTGTAGATGTATCAGTCATCAATCACACCCCTCCTCAGAAACTAGGGCACTACTGAGGGGCACTAATGTTCAACCACTAATGTTCTGGTTAACATTAGTGGTTGAGCTTAAAGGAGGACTCACCTGGTAACCTTCAAACATACAATTATGTTTTTCTGAAATGAAAAGGTATTCCAAAACTAAGAATATTGAGTAATCTTCTTTTAGTTCATTAATGGTATCATTTTGGCTAAACCCGTAGTAATACATTCCACGCGAGTCGGACGTTCATCTATAGTGGGGCTCCAGTGAAAATGTGTGTGTTTGTGAAGTAGTGAAAATACGACTTTACTGCACAAGCTTTGTGTGGGACTTTGTAAACAGATGTTTACATATAGTACAATAACTTCAATCAATTACAACACTTGTCAGGTTTAGTATTCTTTGGATGCTGCAGGGACCTCACACAGCTTTAATCTCACACACTGCATGTTCCTGATGCTGCCCTCACTAACTGTTCTATCAGTGTCAACTCATCTGCCTGCATCAGTGTTCCTGTGCATGGGGAAACACACTTCAGTGATTGCATTTCCATTCACAGATCCTAGCAGACTCATGTGTAAAATGTGCATGTACATGCTCCAGGTCCGGACTAGGGTAGTGTGTGTGTGTAACTGTGTCAGAAGGATGGTGTGTGTGTCCTACCTGCTGTGTCTTTCCCTGCAGCGCTCGAGGAGGGGGGACTGGGGGCTCTGCTCCCTGCTGCGCCCAAGGGCAGGAACTGGTGCGGCCTGGGGGCGGGGCCTGCTGGGGGAGGACCCCCCGCTCAGGGAGGGGGAGCACTGGGAGGATACCGACCGCTGCGGGGAGTGAGGCGGAGCAAACGGCCAGGGGCGAGCCCGCTGCTCCTGATGGACCACTGCAGGGGAGAGGAAGTACTGATGAGCAAACTGTAACGACTGAACTGTGTGGTGTTTCACATTGGAAGAGTGTCCCTTTATTGAAAAACATTTCATTTCAATCAAGGTTAATCATCTAAAAACACCTGTCATTGTCAATGTGTTTTTAATGTCATTTCTGCTTGTTCCACTTCCCTGATATTTGACTTGTACACAGAAAAAAAGTATTTTTAGATTGACTGTTTATGAGGACTGTCAAATCTTGTTTCAAAGCTTTTGTTATGCAAATATAGTGAACTAGTTTATCTCTATTTGGCATTATAGGAGCAGAGGCAGAGCCTACATATAAAACAGCACTATTCCTGTGTCATGGTAGAAGGCTAATTATACATAACCTCACCAAATACTATGTAGTGTTTTGATGTTTCTATTTTAAGTACCAATTACAAATCCTGACCACCATATATATTAAAGGGTTATGTCTCGGCAGGATTTGGAATAACTTGATGTCCAGGCATTTACCTTAAGTAGACTGTAAGAGTGTCTTTAGGGGTCGTTGACTTGGATGCTTTACTCTCATCTGCTACATTATGAACCATCCTGAACTCTCAGGTGTTCTGGAACGGTTCTCTGTCCTGTCAGAACTAAACATGGAGAAGCAGTTATTGTGCTCCATCTGGAACAAAGCAGGAAGCTGCAGGTCTGCTGCTACGCTCTCTGAGGAAATCCAGGCTGAAGACTTTTCTTTTTGCTGCTGCTTTTAATTCAATCAAATAGCTGTTCTTACACTGTACATTTAACTTTTCTATTTTATAGCTGAATTATTCTAATTGGCTTGTTTTTACGTTATTTTCTTAGCTTTTAATGATTGTTTTTAAAAGTCATTTGATCATTTGTTTCTGTTGAACGATATCTTAATGCTTTTTTATTTGTTGTAAAGCACTTTAAATTGCCTTGTGTTGTGCTTAATAAATGATCTTGCTTGCCTAGCTAACACATCATTATGATTTGTTCTCAGCTGTCAGTATGGCTCAGAACCGTTTTCATACTCCTGACAGAGTCACATGTCTGTCTGTTTACCTTCTCTCTCCATTAAAGAGTAGGGCTTGATCTCTCCGTCCGGCTTTCTTAGGGGAACCTTTCTCAGCTGGGCCACTGTGGAGGAGAACACATTTAGAGTGGGGACAAACACAGAACATGACTGCTCACACTACATACTGGCCGTTTCTCAATCGCAAGTAAAACTGCTGCAGAGCCACTATTTCAAGTATACTACGTCATCGAGTGGCGCCGAAGGACTGTTTAAACGCTGGTTAAATGCCCAGCATTCTGCGCCACTATGACGTAGTATACTTGAAATAGTTGCTCTGCAGCATGTGTACTCGCGATTGAGAAACGGCCTCTGTCCTTCACAAGCTTCATTTGAACAGTATTTCCTCTGCCAGTACTGTACAACTACTTATCAGTGAAGGCTGGAACACATTTCACGTATTGGTCTTGAGAGCATTTCAAACTCAGAGCAGACATGTGAGCATGTGCAACATTTCTAGCAGAACTTAACAGGACAGACCGTCCCTGACAGTATCCTTCAAAACTTCCACAAATTGTAATACCTTATCTAGTCATGTGAAATAGTTGTTCTTGTGCCATGTTATCATCTCAGTCTAGGATAACCTGAACATATATTTTGAAATGTAGTAAAAGTGTAGGAGTGTTTGACACCATTAATGACAAGCTGACACTCAGGTTCAACCCTCACCCAATAACTAGAACAATCCACAATCTAAGAGCACACCATCAATTAGCATAATCGGCATGGTTTATTTGGATAAATGTCAAGCAACGAAGCAAGTAAGTCTTACCAACACGTGTGTTGATGTATTCATGGTCAGTGCACAGCTACATGCAGACAGTATTTCTGGTGACAAAAAGGACAAACTAACTCTCCTCTCTTTCAGGCGTTTTGTAACTGTGGCCTCCTTCAAAGGGGCCCTGTTATGCTAATGTTCAGGGTCATATTAGTATGTTGTGTCTCTACTGGGACATGTTTCTCTATTCGCTCTTTATTTTTCTCATACTGCTGCAGCACCTCTTCTCACCCTCTGTCTGAAACCAGAGCCAGTCTGCTCTGATTGGTTAGCCGGCCGGCTCTGTTATGAAAGGTCAACCTCTTGTAGGGTCCCAGCCCTATCACGTACAATGTGTTGGAGCGCTAGCCAATAGAAACACGAGTGTAACAGTGATGGCATGATGTTACAGAAGTAAACAAGGGAACTTCCCCCCCCCCCCCCAATGGAGGCAGGGGGGGGGAACACAGGGATTGTAGCCTTTGCAGACCATTCACATGCACTCAAACCTATACAACACAGTACAGGAAAATAGGGCCTCTTTAACAATCTGACAGGCATTAAGAGGCATTGCAGGGTCAGGAAACAGGCAGGTATCCTCCTGTCAGTGAGAGGGAGGGGGGGTGAGGTGGATCTACAGGTTGAGGCATCAAATGTAACATATACTATACCTGTAAGTGTAGAAAAATAAGAGTGACGGGAATAAGGGAGTGAAAACCGGCTGAGAAATGATGAGGAAAACAAGAAGACCCAGAGAATCAAACATGTCATATGGGACAAAGGAGGAGGACAAGATGCTGGGGACACATGAGAAAAGAAAAGAGATTTAGAAGTCCTTACAAAAAGCTGAACATCCCCTGATCCGGCAGAGGAGAGGAGGGTGAGCCTGAGAGAGTTTGATGAAACAAAAGATGTTGGAGCTCTGCTCTTTTTTACTCTTACACTCTATGATGAGGAGAATTGTACATAGAAATGTGCAACAAAAAAGTGATGTCAAAAGCAAGAATTCACTTTACACTGTAGCATGCAAAATATGTGATGTAACTGAACTTCAAAATATGTTTTCACAAAAGTATTTGGGTGTTCGGGCTTTCCACAGATTTGCTGAGAAATGAGGAGGCATATTCAGGGTTGAGAGGTACATTCCCAGAATCATCAGAGGTTCCCGTTTTCACAATCACATAACCCCTTTCCGCAACAAAAAGAAAACCATTGGGAAAAACGTACCTGCTATGTTGACGAAGAAGCCCTCAAACACCACAAAGTTATTGGCCTGGACAGAATAAAATGATAAACAACATAACTGTTAAAGTAAGAAAGGATGCAATCGATGTGGTTAGCTTTTTCACAATGAAACAAACGGTGATACAAAGGTTGAAGGGCGTGTACAATTGACTGAGCAGCATTATCAAGGCAAGCTACTGAATCAGGAAAGCCATCAGAAAAGGGGGTTCCGTCTTGACCTTTGAGAACAGTTAACGCATTGAGGAACAATCTCTGCTTCAACTGCATGTCTCTGTGTGCATTCATCCTGCTGAGGTCAAGTAGAACAGGTGGTCTGGGCCAACATGTAAACAGTGTGATCCACACTCACATAAGCTAGTACAAACACTGACTAACATCTGTGAAACATCTGGTCCGACAGCTTGACCCTTGTCCTTTAATATGAATGATATCCAGGATGATCCTTACATCTTCTTACATTATATGTGTATCTGACGCATTGGAATAAAAGCTGTAGCTATTCAATCTGACGCCCTATTTTTCACAATCTACTTGATTCAAAAAGTGCTGATCACCTTAAATAATGTATATGATAAGATTAGACTAGAATAGATGTAACTTTATTGTCCTTAAATGAGTCACACCTAATGATGGTGAATGTTTAACTGGTAGATGTGACTTCTAACACTACAGCAGTGGTTCTCAAACCTTTTCTGTCAAGCCTCTGCGCCCCCCCACTTTGAGAGACACTGCACTACAGTAAGGTGATAATGATTGTACTATAGAGAAGTCTCACTCTGCTTGCTTTTACACTGTTTTACAGAGTTGAGCTTTTTCACTGTCAAATGATCCTTTACAAGTACAGAGACACAAAGTGTTTCTACTGGAATAGGCCTGATGAGCGACAGCTGATAAAGCCTCACACATACATACATAGCGACAGTGTGAAGGACAGACTGTACCTGAGGGACACTGGGCGTCAGGCAGTAATGCTTTGCCAGGAAGGACAGGAACTTGGGCGACGGCCTGTCGTAAGCCATCAGGACGGGCTCTAACTTCTTGTGCTGCGGTACAGAAACAGAAAGAGACTAATAAACAACACACAGCTATGAACTGTGATCATCATCTCTACTGGCAGATATATTAATACATCTTTTCCAGTTTGCTCAAAAAAGAGAGTTCCAAGTTCCATTCAGTGTTGTTTGTGAAAATGCACGTATTTCTCATCGCTCTATGTTCTCCTAGTTTTACTGAACATCCCACATGTGGCTACAGGTTCAAGAATTACTACTGGCAGAACATTTTGCCTTTCAGTGTGGTGACTTGTGCTTTTAGATGTGTTACGTCAACAAGGCAACACACTAGTTTGTTTGAGGCATACTAGGATTGAAGGTATGGTAGTGTTAAAGCCAGTTTTAGTTTTTTGTGAACAGGTCCTAATATTGCCACAGTGGTGACCTCTGTAGTCAAGGGACTATAAAAGACTACAATTCCCACAGTGCCAGTCTTTAATAGTCACAGATATGGGAAACCTGTGAGCAAGAGGCCGTGAAGACACATGATGACGAATATCATGATAGAAAGAAAGATGAGTTGTGCCTCTTTTGTATTTGTTTGACCTCTGTAAAGGCATATTTGGTTTGTTGAATGGCTGTGGAAAGAATTTGATTTGATTTACCAAGAGTTGCATAGCCTCTCGAGTATTTTAGTCACACATCATCAGAAGCCAAAAGTCATCAAAAGTGTAAGTAAAACAACAACATTGAAAGATAAAATGTTAGAAATGTCTGTTTAAAAGCTTTAAAAGGCATCTAAGTGGTTTAAGGAAACAAAGGAAGGAAGCCACAACAGGCAGTACTTCCACCATGAAGGAATAATGGAACCTGTATTTCATAACATTTCTCTTAGGAAGCCCACAGACTACTCATGTTTTGATCTCAAGAACCTAGAGAGTTGAATGTCATAACGTCTTCCACTAAATCTGCTTTCGAGTCATTTGGAAGGAGTTTCACCTGCAGCATGAAATCAAAGAGCTCCCTCCCGTAGCCATATCGCTGCAAGTTCTCTGCTATGTAGAAATCCAGAATACACAGTGGCTCCGCCTCCACGTGTGAACCCTGTCGGTCCTGTGGAGGAAACACAACCAGCACACCTGTACAGCTCAGAAAGCAAGTTTAAATAGACATCAAATCAGGGAAGCATGTGAAATAATTGCCAACTGAAGAGCCAGAAGAGAATTCAAGACAAAAAAGGTACTCACAAGAAGAAATAACTTTTTGTAGCCAACCTTGAGAAACCCCACGACAACACCACGGCCTCTGTGTGTGGGGAAGGAGGGGCAGGGGGGGAATTGGATACAAGAGGGTGTAGTGAGAAAGACTGTGTGCTCTAATTCACTTTTTACTGCTGCAATAAACATAAACACAGTACGCTCACATCTAAACACAACAGTACATGCACTGTGACCACATTATGACTCAGTACTGAAGCTATTAAAGGTCCAGCTGATGAATACAGCTCAGTCAGTGAGTGTGTAATGAGAGGAGAGTGTGCCATGTACCCGTTGCTCTCTCCGTCCTTCAGCAGGTACAGCTGGTGCTTCTGGGACTGCAGCTTGGAGGCACTGGTTATAGAGGCTGGGAGCTGCTGGGCCTGTGGAGAGTAAGGACACTGTTACGTTTATCATCAGTACTATCACAAAGAATGTGGAAACTAGTACTAACATGTGGTTTGAGTTTTGCAAAGGATAATATTCCAGCCCTCTGTCTGTACAAGACATGTCTAAATGATATGTCAGTACACTAGTGGGTAGTGTTGCACGGTGTACCGATACTTGAAAGGTACCGCGATACCCTGCCGTTAAAAACGTTACGATTCCTCCGTTTCATTAGTATCGGTACTTTAAGAATGACGGGGGAAAGTACTCCGGTGAGAAAGCGCCGTTTTAATAAGAGCCGTGTGTGTTCAGCGCTCTGCTTCCACTCCCTGCACTGCAGCCGTGCCTGCAGTCCCTCCCTCTCAAGCACGTTCTAAGTCCCTCCCCTCTCAAGCACGCACTAAGTCCCTCCCCTCTCAAGCATGCACTAAGTCCCTCCCCTCCAAGCATGCACTAAGTCCCTCCCCTCTCAAGCACTGCACTAAGCTCCCTCCCCTCTCAAGCATGCACTAAGTCCCTCCCCTCTCAAGCACTGCACTAAGTCCCTCCCCTCTCAAGCACGCACTAAGTCCCTCCCCTCTCAAGCACGCACTAAGTCCCTCCCCTCTCAAGCACGCACTAAGTCCCTCCCCTCTCAAGCACGCACTAAGTCCCTCCCCTCTCAAAGCACGCACTAAGAGTCCCTCCCCTCTCAAGCACGCACTAAGTCCCTCCCCTCTCAAGCACGCACTAAGTCCCTCCCCTCTCAAGCACGCACTAAGTCCCTCCCCTCTCAAGCACGCTCTAAGTCCCTCCCCTCTCTCTTGCACGCGCCAGAGCATGTGAGAAAACGAGAAGCATAGCTGCAAGTGGGAGTGCAACTGCCGCTGCGCCTCGGCTTGTTGACAAAAAAGACGCCAGAAGCGAAATTTGGAAGTATTTGAGCTATATCTCTGACAGTGAGGGCAAAGCCTATGGACACCACGAGGCCTGTCTGTGAGAAATGTTTTAGATCCCTGCAACCAAGGGAGCCAACACATCAGACTTGGCTAAGCACCCGCCGACCGGAATCCAGAGCTGTTTAAATAATTTGAAGACAGACAGGTTAGTGAATGTGATAACATAATTACATCATGCCCATGCCCTCAAATCTAAGTCAAACAAGTGTAATTTATTTTGTGACAAACAAACGTTTTCGTAGTTTGACGAGGCAATTCATGGCAATGATAACTGTCTAATATGGCTATCTTTTTAGCTAACTTACCAATGTGGCTAACATCTGCAATATACATGTTGTCAATAATTATTTATATTACTGTACTATTACATGTTAATAAAATATAAAGTTAACTATCAAAGAAATCACATAAACTCAAGTATAAAGAAGAGACCATGTTGTAAGAAAACACTTAACAGATAAACTACAATTTTATTTATCATGAAAATAAAATAAAAGTATCGAAAAATAATCGGAATCGCAATTCTTGACTTGGCATCGGTATCGAAACCAAAATGTTGGTATCGTGACAACACTAGTAGTGGGTGTACATACACGCAATATGCCTGTGTGTTGTGTGTTTGAACCGACTTCATTCAAATGATAGAGTGTTGTTGTGATGATGATAGATGTTGGATCACAGAGTATTGGGTTAACCAGATCAGTGATGCTGTTGCCCTAATCATCAGCAGACTGCATTGAGACCCATTAGGCCCTAATGGTTCTCAATGCAGTCTGCTGGAAGTCATGTCATGTAGCCTCTGGGTCTTTTATGTGGAGTAAGCATTTCAAAAAGAAAAAGATGTTAACAGGTCATTTGTCTTTTGATGTCAAATGGGACCTTTTGATGTCAAAAGACAAATAGTGATAAATGTTAGGAAAAGTACGATATAAATATTTAAAGAAAGTTAAAAGTATTAAAAGTGAACTACAACTATTTTCAAAATTCTAAATAAGTCAGTTTTATTTTGATTCCAACCCCAACAAATCATACAAACAGAGACTCACCTTTGCTGAGGCTCTCCCAAGCTCATCGATAACTGTTTCTATGTTTGCCTGAAGATGTGGCCTGCAACATGAATAATAACAAGAAGAAGAATCAGTGGTGGAAGAAGTATTCAAGTTATTCAATTGTCAAAATACTTTGTTACGAGTAAAAGTCCTGCATTCAAATCTTACTTGTATAAAAGTACATCATCATAACAGTATTATCTCCAAAATGTAATTAAAATATAAAACGTAAAAGTAATCATTGTGCAGAAAAGAACGTGTGTATATAATTATATCTATATATGTGACATTTCTAGAAAATATTGCTGCATCAAGTATAATAATATAAAAGTTCTGATTGACTTTTAGTAAAACATTTAAATAATTAGACTCTTTTGTGACTTAAAGCTCCCATGTCACGGCCATTTCTACTGATGATTCCATTGTTGAGGTCTACTAGAATAGATTGACATTGTTCAATGTTCCAAACTCACTTTGGTTTCTCACAGCATCTCTGTATAGTCTGTGTGTTCACTCTCTGTCCTACACGGCTTGTTGGAGCTCCTGCCCCCCCCCCCTGTGAGCACACTGTGCTCTGATGTGTGTTTATGTGTTACAACGGCGTTTGTTAGCAACTAGTAATGACAACTTTGAGGCTCGAGGAGCAGACAGTGTGAGCTGGATTACTGGTGTCGTTTCCTGGTTGCTGCGTGGGGTCAGCGAGACACCGCGGAACTCAGCCTGAGCTCACAGAGTGAGTGAGAGTGTAAGTGTGTGTGTGTGGAGCTCCACAGATTGGTCCATTTGGACCTGGGTATCGTTACGTCACTACAGGAAGAAAGAAATGGAAAAAGAGAAATGTCCAACGAGGCGTTCTGGGGCAGCACAGACAGGTCTTTTCTGTGTTAGAGTTTTACTCGCTACAGGGTGTACTTTGAGGGTTTGAGACTCTGCAGACCGTTTACATGCATTCATAACACACAAGGGGACGGGTAATAACCAGAAAAGCATGACATGGGACCTTTAAAGAGTTTATCCACTAGTTTAATTTTTAGAGTTGCATTTTATTAAAAGTGTTAACAATAAAGGTAGGGGAATACATTCCCTTTTAAATGTATTAGAGTAGTAGTACAAAGTAGCATGCAATGAAAATACTCAAGTACCTCAAAGTTACTGAGGTTACTTATTACTTCCCATCTCTGCTGATACTTCACCCCCAACAACCCACTGAATACAAAGTGACACACACTCTGAAATTAAGTATCTTCCTCCATATTATCCAGTTGTTCTTCTACAGCTGCACAGCCACATATAGTACTGTGTTGGTGACTGTACTCTGTAGCATTAATACAATGTGACAGTTCCCAGCCCTGAAGAGAAAAGGATGTTCCGACTTACATTCCTGCTGTTTTACGTCCTGCAACAAGGGTCTGGTCCAAGATGGAGAACCTCTCGGGAAATAAGTGGTTGATATCAAAAGGAAACTCCATTATATCTCACAGATACCTGGACCGTTATATCCAGGTTTGCAGAAGAAACAATAGCAGCAGGAGGGCAGCAGGTGCTTTGCTAGCTAGCGAGCTAACCAACTAAACGGGCTGTATGCTATCTCACAAAGATAATTCGTTAATACAAAAACAACAGTAAGCTAGCTGATAGCATTCCGAAGAGAATAACATTACAACTCAGCATTGTCTGAATGTGAGGGGCTGTAAATGATGAGAGTAGTGAGAACAGGCACCGGCTATTCAGTCACTGCAGCTCCATTGTGTCTGTGGTCGAGTCCCTCCCTGGCAACATCAACCGTAATGTGTGGAAAAGACAGTGGAGAAAGTCTGCATTAACTACTGCGTCAATAAACGTTTTGAAAAATATCCCAAAACAATTTAAGGCAAAAATGAGTACACATGTTGGGAACAAATTATATAGTTACTTAGTCAACTTCTATCCCAATAGTATTTTTACCATAATGTTTAGCAAACCTGTTTTACGGTAAAATTGATGAACAGAGGATGTGAAACTCTGCGAGGAGATCTCAGGGGAGAGCTGTACGGTGGCCGGCAGGTGCAAACGCGGAACAACGGCCCAAAACGCATAGGCCTACATAAGCAGGAAACACCTGCAAATAATGAAATGAAATAACAAACAAACCCTGAAAACAAATACAACAGAAAAACGCTGCATTTACAGAAATGATGCAGACTAAATACAACACACAAACCCTGAAAACAAACGCAACAAAAAAACGCCGCAAATACCAAAACGATATGCAAAGTCCAAAGCACATACAAATCCCAAAACACATACAAAAAAAACATTCCGGAAGTGCTCCAGGCCTCTACGGAGCGCGCTACGTGGAACAGATTGATGTCTGACCAGACATCGAGGCTGAAGTCGAATTATGGGCATAGATATGTCTCATAATTATTTGTGTGAACATAAAAATAATTTGTGTGTAAATATGTGATTTGTAAATGTAAAACAACATCCACAAATGCATTTAAAAGATTTGCAAACTCACAAATAAATTTGCAAATGTAAAACGGATCTGCAAATACGCTAAATATTTTCACAAATAAAAAAAAGATCTGTGAATATCTCTTTAACATTTACAACTTTCGATCAGGCATTTGTGAATCCATTTTGTATTTGCCGACCAAAAATGCGCTTGCGGATCTCAAATCTCTGCTCGTGGATCTCACATTTCTGCTTGTGGATCGTCTTTTTACACACACGGAATTTTGAGACATATTTTCTGCCGGTCTCTTCTAAAATCTACTCGTGTCACTCGGTTATTTTCGGAAACCACGTGATGGCCTGCTGATGACGACATTTCCGAATTATTTCAAAGTAAGAGCATGATGGTTTGTTTAATGCTGTTTTTTTATTATAATGAACAGCGGAACGTTAGATGCATTATTTATCACCATCATCATCATCATCATGTTATAGTGATACAGTTAGTTTGTGTTAGTTTATTGGATCAATACAGCATATATCGAGCACCTTCGTTGATGTTGAAGTACAGGCTATACGCCACTTTCGGGTCCGGGGGGAGCAGCTGGCAGCGAACCATGCGCGTCCCTCATGAAGAGGGTGCTTGGGGGGTACAACTTGGACGGAGTCATGAGCCGCATTCACACCGCAGGACTTTCCCTGGTACTTTGGTTCTTTAGTTCCGTTAGTACCATTAGCCGCATTCACACCGCAGGACTTTCCCTGGTACTTTGGTTCTTTAGTTCCGTTAGTACCAATAATGTCGCGTTCACACCGCCGGGACTACTCAGTGCTGGGAACTCTTTCGGCCATTTGTAGTCCCTGCTAGAGAGGTGGTACGAACCTGGTGATAAAAGAGTGCCAATTTCTATTCTATTTCTATTGGCTGGGCGAATTTCAAACCACGCCCCGTTAGACTCTGAATTTTTTTTGTTAGGTAGCCATTTTTTTCCTCGCTACAAAACCACATCCACACCTGAGCGAGTAGTTTTTTTGTACTTTAAAGCAGTTATGACCACACGTACTACAACACCGGAGCGGTGGAATGATGAGGAAGTGTCGGCGCTTCTGGCAATTTACTCCGAGGACGGGATGCAGCAGCTTCTACAGAAAGCAGTTCCCAACTCCAAATGTTTTGAGCGATGTTCGCGAAAGCTACTTGAGCTGGGAATCGTGCACAGTGCACACGGATGCCGGGTAAAAATAAAGAAACTCAGGCAGGACTATACAAAAATTAAAGACCACAATAATAAGAGTGGTAACGATTTTCTATTGTTATTATATATATATATATATATATATATATATTGCCACTGTTTTTTTAATACTGACACCTAACTTGCACTAAGGTGTGTCTGCTGCTATATATATTGCCACTGTTACATTGTTTTGAAACTACTTACACTTTATTTTACATTTCACACATTTATTTAACTTCAATTTACGTCAATTTACACACCTGGAACAGCGTGATGCCGTTATTGTTATGTCTTGACTGTGCAATAAAACAAACAAACTGGCGAAGCTTTATTTATTGTGTCCCACCCCAAATTTGCAGAATAGAAGAATGTGAGAGAATTTATCTACAATGTTGCAACCTTGTGCAGCAATGGCAGGGGCAGAAACACAAGTCTTACACACATAAACACAAGTAATTTATCATGTCATTTGTTTTAGATAAATAAGGGAAAAACACCAAACAAGGGTTAATGTCCTTTTCCAAAATCAGCCTGAGGGGGTAATATATAATAAATACATAAAGATAAAGTCCATTGTTATAATGGGGTATTTTATTTGTAAATTACCCTTATGAACTCCATCATGTCTGAGGTCGGAAAGTAAACAAACGCCTCATACAGCGGGTGGGCTTTATACCCCCTCCCCCGTGTAGTTCTTCTTCTCTCGTTTTTTTTTTTGTACTCGCCGTGAAGTGGTTTTGCGGCCTGCCAGTAAACCCAGAGAAGAAGAAGACGAAGCGACGTCAGCGTAATCTTGCCTCAGGGAAAGTACTGCGGTGTGAATGCGATTGGCACTAGCCCCCTGGCGGATTCAGTGCCGTGGTACTTTAGTGCCGGCACTAAAGTACGGCAAGTCCTGCGGTGTGAAAGCGGCTATGGCTGTCAACTGGGGGGTTGTAAACGAGGCCGAAGGGGTGAAGGCTTTTGTGCAGGCCTATCAAGTGACAGTGTTCGAGTCTGGTCTCTTTGTGAGTGAGTCGGGTGTTTTGGGAGCATCACCCGATGGACTTGTGCAGCCATCTGCCCTGCTGGAGGTGAAGTGTCCACACAGCCAGAGGAACATGACCATCGCGGAGGCAGTCCAGTTACCATCCTTCTGTCTCCGTGAGGAGGGTGGGTCTTACATTCTCAAGAAGAATCACCCATACTGGCACCAGGTCCAAGGGCAGCTGCACATCACAGACCGGAGTCTATGCTACTTTGTTGTGTGGACCACGAAGGAGGCGATCATCATCCCCATCCCCAAAGACCCTGCATGGCATGGAAATCTCCTCCTCCTGGAAAAATTCTACACCCAGCATATGCTCCCTGTGTTGGCCAGTAGAGAGGAGGACATTTAAATAAACATACTCTTAACACCCTCGGACTCTGCGTTGTGTTTCGTATGTGTGATGGGGTGTTATGCAGGGGGGAGGAAAACAGGACACAGCAGATTGGGATTGTGGTGGAGATGCTGAGCAGTTATTTAATTGTTGCATGTAATTATTATACTGCGTGCTTCTTAGTTATTCCATCTTTTGCTGTAACATGGATCTGTATGTAACTCTATATTTACTTGTTATCTACCACACTTCCTTCTACATCATACACCATCATTATACATGATTATAAATTGTATAATTTTATTTTTCGTATTTGGGATTGTTGGGAACGTATTTTTGATCTCTCTGTCTATAAACACAAACTGAGTAAGATTGACAATAAAGTTGACTTTGAAAAATATATATATTCTTTATGAAAATAGTTGACTGTTGGAGAAATGAATCCAAATGAAACGTTGGACTGAACTACAACTACGCCTTTAAATCTCTACGGACTGTTTTTCAGTGGGATGGCAAGTTCCTATCTTTAAACATGTATTAGTTTTTTCTCAGAACAGATTTGATTTTCTGAAGTTAATTTAACTTAACTTAACTTTGGCGACATTATTAAAAAGGTACAATCAATTTGTTTAGGGTTGACTAACATAATGAAAAACATTTCATTTGGATAATTTACTGACAGAATAAGAAACTCAATGATGCTCTACTCACCTGTTCCCTTTTTATAAAGTGAAACAGTTGAAACGATAGATTTTAGTATCGGATATTAAAAATTCAATTTCAAAACAAGTTGCCGCTCCTACAGTTTTCTAGTATGTAAAGATGATTTCACATGACCTTTGCAAAATATCACACTCAATACATGTGTGTCTCTGGGGGGTGCATTGTGCCTTTGATGTATATACATAATATACCATAACCAAATACTATTACGTACAGTGGAAATCAGGTTGCCAGAGCAGGTCAGTCCAGTGTGCATGTTCCTCAGGGTCTCAGCAGTTACAGGTGAGGTAAAGAAAATAAAAGAGAAAAAGGTCAGTAACAACACTTTAAAGTAATAACACTTTGAATAATTATCTCTTTTAATAATTTTCTCTCAGTAATCACTCAACTACTGTCTTTCCAACAAACAGATTGACTCACCCTCACTATCATCACAATGAAACACGTCCAGAAGAATGTCATGCAAAGCTGCCTGCCTGCCTTCCTTCGACTCTCCCTGAACTGCCTGATCTTTTAATGTTCAATGTTAACCATTTGTGCAGATAGCATTAAGTAGAAAAGATCGCCGATGCTAATGTGTGTTAGCCTACCTCCCGCCCCCTTAGCACCTGGTGGAGGGGGCGATAGGCTACTCTTCAAATGTTTCACAAAATACTTACCATCATGACTACTCTTACTGTTTAACATTTGGGTTTACTTCATGTTAAGGCTAATACAAATGGCAAGGCTAAGTAATGTAATGTAATGCTAACTAACGTGCCCGCTACTAGCTCGGTAGCTAACTTGACTATGTTCCATGCAAAACATGTATATTACCTAATATGTTTGGTCCAACGACTCCTGGTCCTTTCATCAGACGGGAAGCGATAGAACGAAAAGTGGTATGATCACTTTTGTGATTCCAACCTGGTACAAAGCACACAGGCATCTTATAAAAGTGATTTTATTGGAGCAATCTCTTATATTTATTGGAGGGAATAAATCAGTTATGAGATCTTCTTCTTCTTCTTCTTCTTCTTCTTCTTCTTCTCTTCTTCTTCCTTCTTCTTCTTCTTCTTCTTCTTCTTCTCTTCTTCTTCCTTCTTCTTCTTCTTCTTCTTCTTCTTCTTCTTCTTCTTCTTCTTCTTCTTCTTCTTCTTCTTCTTTCTTCTTCTTCTTCTTCTTCTTCTTCTTCTTCTTCTTCTTCTTCTTCTTCTCTGCTTTAATTGCAAGTCGCAACCAGTCTTGGAGCATTATGGCCTATGACATCACTTACGCGACCCAGAATGGGATTTGTAGTCTTTCTAGTTGCGTATTTTTCATAGTCTTATATTTCAACAGTTTTACGACAAACTGTGACTTTTTTTACATGGAAATTATTGTTTAAGATTGACAAACATCATATGTGTAATTCGTGGCACAATTCAAACGGAATCAAAAGATAACTTTTCTCTCTCCATTGACTTCAATGTATAATTTTCCGCTTCCGGGGTCCCATGGACCGGAAGTAGATGGGCGTGACTTCGCCTCTCTATAGTCCATTTAGCTCAAGCCCCCAGGAAGTGCGCCGGACTCAGATGAAAATATTCGTGCTGGCCAAACGGCGGTACTACACTTCCGTTTGGTTGCCAGGCCCGGAAACACTTTTTTCCATTGACTTACATGGGGAAAGAGTGGTCTGTAAATCGTTGGATAATTTTTTTAACTAAATAAACTACCCAGTATGAACACTTGTATAGCCCTTATTAAAAACATTCGTTCCTCAAGATGTAATAATGTGCTAATAACGTTATTCTGAGTTATTTCCCTCTGCATTATGAACGCGCATCTAACCCACGGGACCGCGCCGCTCGAGAGAGAGAGAGAGAGAGAGAGAGAGAGAGAGAGAGAGAGAGAGAGAGACTTGACTTGATTAAATGGATTCACTACATCAATGTACGTCTTTTCAGGCCGCCATGTTGTGTCCTTTCTGTGGCCATCATCTGGGGACAGTTCAAGTGTTCTGTGGCTCCTGTGGCAAACATGTACAGTTTTTGGCAGAAGTTGAACACAACAGTAAGTTCACTTTTTTTATTGTATCTGTTTCAAATGCAAGAAATAAGGATTCAACACACTACTCTGTTTAGAATACTAATTGGCAGATGCATACACTAGTTATCAGCATGAAGGACACATTTTTTCATTGTCTGTTTATGTGAAATATGTAGAAGCCATCATTAAATTGTAGACCAATGCATTATTAAATACACAAAACATGTGTATTATATTATACATTCATAATTGTGTATTAGTTGTATCTTTATAGAGAACATTATACATTTAGAATCAGATTTTGAGACAGTGAGCGGCTGGGAAGTCACATCGCCATGGGGCACAAACAGTTGCTGACGTGATGTTTTCTTCCTTCTCAGGCGTTCCATAAGGAGGGTCAGGAACTCACGCTTGGGACCACCAGTGTCCCCTCCATCCTCAGTGTGTCCCTCATCATCAGTGAACTTAACTGACGTCTCATGAGAGGAGTCGAATGAGGCACCTTTGAAGCCGCGGATTGCTCCATCCCACACATTGGCTCTATTCATATTGAACCTGCTGCAAGATGTATTTGTTCTTTTTGCAGAGAGTTCTGCAACAATGTCCTCTGCTGTCAGGTATTCTGTGCTGGGAAAGACAAAGTGATGTATTGTAATATTAAATGATGAAGCTATAATAAGATTTACAGTATAGAACAGAAAAATTAAGTGGTAATAGTAACAATTAATACCTTTGCTCCATTTTGTCTTCTGGCTCAGACTGGCTATCAATAATGAGAAGTGCATACATTTGTGTAGTTGCTGCAGTGAGAAGAATTTCTCTCATTTTCAAATACATACATTTTTTATTGGTGTTTTGTCGTATGTTTTATCCTATGTATTACCTGCTGCTGTTTTATGCCTTTTATTCTACATGTTATAGTTGTACTTTGAATTGTGTCCTGTGTACTGTACTGTAAAGCACTTTGTACATCCGTGTTGAGAGGGGTGCTATATAAATAAAGTTTTACTTACTTACTTACATAATATATGGATGACAGTCATATTTACAAAAGTATGTCGATCCTCTTCCTGTTTTGTTTTTAATACATTGGGTTCTAAACTGACAACAGCACTTTGTCATACTCCTGCACAATTCTTGTAAACATTTGAAATGGATGCAACAAACAATATCTGATCCTTGAAAAATATGTGTGGGTGTTTTTTGTATCGTCTTCAGTAAGATGTCAGATGTTGTGGGTGTCATTTGGAAATGTATGAAAGTATAATTGTTCTGCTTCCTGGCAATGTTACCCACTGTGATTGGAGGCTATGCAAACAAACACATGTACAAATAAAGATACACACCAAACAACTGTGTCACGATGCAACTGTCAACATGGTTTACCTAGAAGTGGTTCTGACCCGGGCAGACTGGACCTCTTCCTGGCATGGGGTTGGTGCTCCATCCTATTTTTACCCAGGAAACAAGTGCACACAAAGGTATTTATTGATTTCATGTTCAGAAATTCAAACCTACATGGTATAATTACATGTTTAATTAGTCTTACCCAATCAGACGCTGGTTGTGGGTGCCTGAGAGGTCTGATAAAGGTAAACAACAAATATATTCAAACTACTGTACTGTTAAAACATTCTGCTTCTTGTGGCTCAAAATAATATGTTAACAATGTTTTATTTTACCCTGGCAAACTTGTCCATTCGTGGAGTGCTCACTTTTGGAACATTTGGAATGTCCCACACCTGCATTCACACAAAGGACTGACTGAAATAAAAATAGATTAACTTTAATTAAGAATAAATGCCACGATAAATCCAAACTGACCAAGGTACATTATATTGTTGACCGTCCTTTAACTCTCACATTAGGATTAACATTGAAGCACAATAAACCAACTCCTCTCTGCACCTAATATATCTATATGATGTCACGAGTTACATTTAGGTGCACAGTGCTGTCTCTTGACTTGCAAACTCTTTTACCAAACAAGCTAACGCTAGCTGGGTAAATATGAAGCTCTTTGTATCAAAACAAAACTTACCTTCTTATATATCGACTTTTTCCACTTCGATCAACTTTGTTTCCTCCGGCTTCAATTTGCAGCACTCTTGTTCGTTCCCTCTATGGCGCGTTTCCACTGCAGCGGGTAGCTCGCTTTAAGCGTGCCGAGCCGTGCGGGGCCCGTTTTTGGTTGCGTTTCCACTTGGCCTAGTTTTGGCCCGGAGCTACTTTTTCACCTTTTTTCTGGCCCGACTAAATCGTGGTTCTAGGGCCAGGAAGAACCAGGCTGAGTCGGGCTGAGTATGCTAAACTAGAGAGAGAATCGCTGGCAAGGGGGCTACAACTACAACAAGATGAACGTATTTGACCGTGAATTAATTGTAATACAAGTTTCAAAATGATGCCGAAGTAACAACATACTGATACCGGTTAGTAAAAACCATGAATTAATGCTTTGACAAGTCTGCAGACAGACGTCAGGCGAAAAACCCTTTTAAAATGCGTGTTTTCTAAATGTAGCTTGGCTAAGCTAACGTTATATATGCTCCGACCGTCCACACTCACAACAACGGCCTATAAAGACATAAATAAACCAGCGACTGTATTCGCCATGACACAGGCAGTCTGTGGTTTGTACTTGTTTAACTTTTGTCAAGTTTCTGAACAGATATGAAGAGCTGTGAGCTTCGAGTGCTAAGAGCTAACGGCTGTGTTGTTTTTCTGGGGCTCTCATTGAAGATGACGTCACGGCTCCGCCTACACTGCGTTACTATAGTAACTGCCCCAGTTCCTAAACTGTAATGGAAACGCAGCATTAAAGTGAGCCGGGCCTAATAAGGCCTAACCAAACCGAGCGAGGCCTGCAGTGGAAACGCGCCATATGTCTGGTCAGACATCAATCTGTTCCACGTAGCGCGCTCCCTAGAGGCCTGGAGCACTTCCGGAATGTTTTTTTTGTATGTGTTTTGGGATTTGTACGTGCTTTGGACTTTGCATGTCGTTTTGGTATTTGCAGCGTTTTTTTGTTGCGTTTGTTTTCGGGGTTTGTGTGTTGTATTTAGTTTGCATCATTTCTGTAAATGCAGCGTATTTGGTTGTATTTGTTTTCAGGATTTGTTTGTTTTTCATTTCAGGATTTGCAGCTGTTTCCTGCTAATGTATGCGTTTTTGGCCGTTGTTCCGCGTTTGCACCTGCCGGCCACCGTAGATAATCAATTCATAATACATTAATAATAAAAAGCCGTGAGAGAGTTTGATTCTCTCAGGCACTTGTGCAAATAAGCAGCCCCTACTACTACTACTACTACTACTACTACTACTACTACTACTACTACTACTACTACTACTACGACTACTACTACTACTACTACTACTACTACTACTACTACTACTACTACTACTACTACTACTACTACTACTACTACTACTACTACTATACTACTACTACTACTACTACTACTACTTGATTGATTGATTGATTGATTGATTGATTGATTGATTGATTGAAAAGTGTATTAACAGCTTGTATATTGGGTACAGTACAGTACAGCTCAAAACATACAATTGTTAAGGGGATGCAGACCAGAGAAAGACTTTCGTCTTGTTTACATCAGGGTCCCCCATTTCCAATTCATCATATCATTTAAGACATATAAGACATATTTGACATACAGATGGCTTATTTACAATTTACATACAGGTGGTTTTTTACATACAGATTGCTTATTTACAATTTTCATTTTAGATTTCGTTCTAATACATCCTAACCGGACATTTAAGACATACCAAGTCTACAGATATACAGGTTAGTAACAGAGTCTAAAATGCCGAGTATATACATAGATGGGGGGGGAAGCTGTCCATTGAACGACAGGTTGAGATTTGTACCATTACCGGGGGCCAGTTTTGCAATGCTCTCCCCCGAAGGTGCTCTTTAAGAGAGGTTTTGAAGGTAAGTATAGTTTTTACTTTCCTTTACAGTTGTGGGAAGAGCGTTCCACCTTGATGTGGCATAATTGCGAAACGTGTATTCCCCCCTTTTTTGTGCCAAATCTGGGTTTCACATGATTTGTGGAGCTCCCTCTGGTGTTATGATCATGGTATTCCTTGACCTTTGGGAATAATTTTGACATGTACATGGGTACCATAGAGGTGTAGTGGATCTTGTAGACCAGGCCCATTGCAAGTAGCTGTACTCTGTCGTCTAATCTAAGCCATCCTAGGTTGTCAAAGTGGGCAGAGGTGAGGTGGGGTTCTAGATGAAAGGTCAAGCAGTAGTCTGACCAGTTTATTTTGCGATGCTTGAAGTTTTATTTTTAGCACCTTGGAGGTGCTATGGTACCATGACGTGCAAGCATAGTCATAGTACCCTTGAATGAGTGCTCCTGCCAGAGTTTTCAGGGTGTTTTTGTTTACCAGAGAGGAGATCCGGTATAGGAATCTAGTTCTTTGATTGACTTTTTTTATTACATTGGATGCCATTTTGTCACAGGAGAGGTTTGCCTCAAGAATAGATCCTAGGTATGTAATTTCCTTCTTACTTGTGACAATAATGTCGCCCACTGCAACTGAGAAGTCGTCGGATTTGCTGAGATTATGTTTCGAACCGAAGAGAATGGACTCTGTTTTACCCAGGTGTAATGATAATTTATTATCGGCGAGCCAGGTGCAGATTCTGCCGAGCTCGGAGCTGAGGGTTTTTTCAACCTGCAATCTGCTCCTGTCAGAGACCAGCAGGGCTGAGTCGTCCGCGAACAGGAACAAGTTACTACTACTACTACTACTACTACTATGTTTAAACCATAGGTTTAAACATGCATTGTTATCTCACTTTCAACTGGTCTGTAGGCCTACTTGTTATTAACTGATATTGATGAAACTGATTTGCTCGACTGTCTCAAATTGTAATGACTGTGTGCATTGCTTGCATTTTACTTAACAGACTGTACGTGGGTTGTCTTGTGTGTCATGTTTTGCATTTTGTCTTTTTGTTTATGTATGTCTGTAAGTTGTTGCTATTGTCGGGACCCCCTTGAAAACGAGATGGTGCATCTCAAGGGGTTTATCCCAATGAATAAAAATGTCTATATATATACTACTACTACTACTACTACTACTACTACTACTATTTCTTCAGGAAGTTTAACAGATGGCATAGATGGCTCATCATGTACAGTTACTGTAATGTGTACAATGTCCAGCAGATGGCACTCTCTGTCTGTCTAACAGTTTTACTTTTGTTGGACATTTATTCCATTCAAAATGTTTTACTTGTATGATTATCTTTGAATGTTTCAGATATATTGTTGTCCATAACACATTTATTATATTATACATATTATATTATACATAGATAGATATGATTTTAATAGGAGAAGAAAAAGACACGTGGTAATTCCTTTAGTTGATAATTACAACAAATACAATTCATGGAGTCAGATTTTGAAATATTATATATAGGACCCTTAATAAATACTGAAATAGAGGAACTGTATTCATTGTGTTTCTTCACGTGTTTACAAGATTCTTCCTGTACCACTTCCTCTTCCACTGTTAGGTTTTAGAAGGTTTGATTGCAGCACCAAATTAAGATACTGTAACATATGAACAAGAATAACCGTGATGCAATAATGCAGAGTGCCAATATGTTGAGTAAATATTGAATATAGAATGTAACAGTTTTTACAGTATACACTGTTCTTGATGGGTCAGTTTGGACATTCTATGGTTGATTATTTCTGTAAATCAATCAATCAATCAATGTTTATTTATATAGCCCAATATCACAAATGTTACATTTGTCTCAGTGGTCTTCACAGTGTGTAAAGCAGAAATAGGGACAGAAAGCAGCCCTGTTACAATGTCAGCTTTGGCCAAAAAACAAATCTGTTTTACGGTAACTCCATCAGAAAACACTGGAACATTCTGTTTTTATGTATATTTTTTTTTTTTGTCAATTTATTGAACATGTCAGAAACAAAACATACAACAATAATAATTATATATATATTCTTTTTTTTTCTTCTTTTTCTCACTCATAATAATAATTATAACAAAGTACAACAAAATTATAATACAAAAAAAAAGAAAAGATAATAATAATAATTCTCAATAGTCTCTGTCATGTTCAACAGGGGCAAGAAGCTTTTCTGGTCCTCCCCCCTCTAGCATACATTTTCCTTATAAATAAAATATTAGGTCATCGTCATCAGCGACATATTTTTTACAAAACAATCAGAAATAAATTAATTTTAAAATTACAAGAAATAACAAATGGGATTTTACAGGTCCTGTTCATAACCATTCATGATTTGGCTCCTAAATAATACTTTCAGTTTAGATAGGCTTGTACAATATTTCAGTGCATCGTTATTCCACAGACTAACACCTTTTGATGAGATGCAATGAAGTTTGACATTTGTTCGTACGGGTGGTTTTTTGAAAATGCAGTTTCCTCTCAACATGTGCATGCTTTCTCTCCGTGTGAAAAGTCCCTGGATATTATGAGGTAATTGTTGATTTGCGTCTTTGAACATCATTTGAATAGTTTTATAGTCAACCAGGTCTTGTAGTTTTAGTGTTTTTAGTTTGATTTATTTGTTGGTTCTGTGTACGTAGTTTTATGTATAATTCGTATGGCCCTTTTTTGCAGGATGAAGATACAGTAGGATGTGTATTTGTTTTATATGTGTTCCCCCAAACTTCCACACAATACATCATGTATGGAAGTATGAAGTATATCACATTTGATTACCATGTCTATAATTTGATTATTTGTGCATTTACTTTGGCATTGGTGACTTGAAATTTGAAGCGGGACTAAATGATGCTCTATGTGAGTTGCGAGGAGCAGGAATTGGCTTTTTACATTGTCACTGCAGCTCAAACATATACACCGCAGTGGCGAGCCGTCAGGGCCCTCTAGGCCTTCTGTGATATTCTAAGATATATAATATTTTTTTAAATATTTTTTTGTTGTTACATTTTTCATTAGTTTTACCAAAATAACGGATTTAATTGTATTTAAAATAATATTTCCAAAGAAATAAATCCTTCGAATCTGCCTGTTCAGTTTCTGTTGGAATGTGAAGGGTTAAATGCCGTCTCTGCGAGTTATGTGAAGACGGGAGGGCTTGTTGGTCCCTCTCTACATTCACAGAGGGCCAGC